CAGGTACAGATCACACACTGAGAGACCTGTCTACAGTACAGAGACACCCAGCAGGTACAGATCACACACTGAGAGACCTGTCTACAGTACAGAGACACGCAGCAGGTACAGATCACACACTGAGAGGCCTGTCTACAGTACAGAGACGCACAGTGCAGACAATAGCACAGGTACAGCTGGGTCCTGACATCATTACAAATGATGAAGGAGGGCAGGCTCTCTCTGGCAAAGGACTGAGTCATGTCTGGAGCGGCTCGGATCTCGCCCTTTTTCAGCGCACAGGCGTCGGCGGAGGGCGTGGCCACCTCCTGAGTCAACAAAACCGCACACACCTCATCGTTCCAGTGCGCCGCCGAGAAATCCCCTGCAACAGTTTTCAAGTAACAGGTCAGACGATTATAATGACAGCCAAAGACACATGTTCAGGCTTGGATGGCAAAGGTGCAGATCGCTGAATAACTCGTATGAGGGATCTATTTCAGCTTGTTTCTGACTTTGCTACAGGGGCACACACCTGAGGCCTCTGGGGTCCTGGGTTTGTATTTTAGTCCTGCTGTGTGGAGCCTGCATGTGATCCCAATGTCCCCCAATTTTTGCCTTGCATTTGCAATTTGCCCGAGCACGTGCTCCGCTTTCCTCCCGTCCCGCACAGACGTGGGGCCCTTCTGACGGGTACCCCAGGGGTTCATCCTCTGCGATAGGGGTCGGCAATCCTAGTCCCAGAGGGCTTCGTTCTCACTCAGCTCCTAACGGGCCCCATCGGCTCATTATTGGCTTAACGAGGCTCCCAGCCCTTTTAGCTTCTGCTCCCCCCTCGGAGAGACCTGGAGAACCTGCAGACACAGCGCCCCCTCCAGGACGAGGACAGGACGGCCCAGTCTCGGGCACAGAAGACAAAATCAAAATCAAATGCCCACGAGGGGTACAGAAGTGTCAAACACAGGTTCTGATCCCAGGTTCTTTACGCAAAGACCCCCGGGGGTCCTCATCATCTCGCATCCTTCATCGGGCTCCTGGGCTGTCTCCTTCAGGAAGACGGGTTCGCTGTCCACAGGGTCCGCGGCGTCCACAACATCCCCAGCATCCATAGTGTCCACGGTGTCCACAACATCCACAGCGTCCACAACATCCACAGCGTCCACAGTGTCCGCAGTGTCCACAGCGTCCACAACATCCACAGCATCCAC